AGCATCCAGGAGGTGACTGACGTAGTAAATAAAAGTAAAACTATGTAAAGTGACGAAAAGATCTGAAAACTGCTCCATCCTATGGAGAAATCCCTGGGAGGGGACAGAGCGACAGGAAATCTCTGCAAGGGAAACTGGGATTTCCTAGGAATCGTCCCACTGAAGGGAGATAGGGGATTGTGGAGTTTAGATGGGACTAGCTCTTCCCAGGGATTGTGGAGTCAGTTGACCCTTCATGCAGCAGCACTGACTTTTCTTCACCCTTACCATGGCTTTTATACAGCACCATGGTGAGACTAACAACCTTTCAATTCCTACACTGCAATCCAATGGGTCTGCAAGGGACATGGACATGGCTATCTGTCTGCCGGGAGGCCACTCTACATACATGTGCAGCTGGGATGTTCTGCACATTTAGTGTTCAGCTGGCATTACAACCTATCCAAAGTAGCTTCAGTCTCTGGACCAAATGCTAGACACTTTCACTTCCAGGGTTTGAACACAGGGATTCTAACCACCAGGCTCCCAGGAAAGTAGCTGGGGAGGGGAGAAACAATTTTCATGGTCCCTTGCCACCCTTCCAACTCAGAGAGATTTGAACTGGATAAACTGGTTCCCAGAGCCACACAATTAGTAGTATGTGGCTAAAATAATGCAAAGGATGCTCCAGCTTGTTGCTATTAACTACAGACAGCATCGTATTTTCATCTAGTTTGTACAAAGGGCTCTAAGAATGTGCGGAGACCAGCTAAGAAATGAATCTGTGCCAATACGTGAGAGAATTCAAACATTTCTTAAGAATAGTTGTAAACAGCTGACACCTTCAAACTCTTTATGCAAATAGCCATGTTAGACTCCTTTATTAGTTTACTTCTCAAATTCTTCTCTCAGTCGTTAAAGTGAATCAAAATAGGTGGAAGTGCACAGCAATACTGGTCACAACTTTTGAAGTTATAGGGTAATGGGGCATGACTTCACTAGGTGGCCATAGAAGCAGCAAAGGAGAGAATGGGAGCAAGACAAGAAATGTACTTGAGTGGCGTTGTGCTCAGGCAGACCATAGCCAGCTGCATGAAGAAGGGTGTGTGTGTAGGTGGGTGTGTTTCAGCCATGGATAGAGCTGGGTTGGTGTGATAAATGAAGGGACACCCAGCCAGCTAGTTAGCTATAAAGTCCCTCTTGGTGGCTGTTCTCTACTTGCTTTACCTGTAAAGGGTTAACAAAGTTCCCCAGTTAAAGGAAAAGGAGTGGGTACCTGAGCAAAAGAGCCAATGGGAGGGCTAGAACTTTTTAAAATAGGAGAAAAAAAACTTCTCTTTGTTTATGTGTTGTGTCTCTCTCGGAAAGAGGGGAACAGAGGGCAGCAGGAATACTGGGTAATGCTAGAATCAGGTATAAAAAATCATCTTCCATACCTAGAAGAAATTATTGCACAGGGCATGTTTAAATAGGCACAATTAGGGTTTTTTTTTTTTTTTGGCTGGTGGATCTCCTCTGTGCTAACCCCAGATGCTTTTGTTTGCTTGTAACCTTTAAGCTGAACCCCCAAGAAAGCTATTTTGGGTGCTTAATTTTTGTAATTATTTCTTTTAAGATCTAGCAAAAAGCCTAAGTTCCAGATGTATTTTTTTCCTTTTTGTTTTTAATAAAATTTACCTTTTTTAAGAACAGGATTGGAGTTTTGGTGTCCTAAGAGGTTTGTGCATGTTGTTTGATTAGCTGGTAGTCACAGCACATTTCCTTTGTTTTCTTTCTCAGCTCTTCCCCGGGAGGGGGTGTGTGTGTGAAAAGGCTTGAGGGTACCCCACAGGGAGGAATTCCCAAGTGCTCCTTCCTATGTTCAAAGGGTTTTTGTTTTTTTTGCATTTGGGCGGTGTCAGTGTTTACCAAGCCAAGGTCAGAGAGAAGCTGTAACCTTGGGAGTGTAATACAAGCCTGGAGTGGCAAGTATTAATTTTTAGAATCCGTGTAGGCCCCCACCTTCTGCACTCAAAGTGACAGAGTGGGGATTCAGCCTTGACAGTAGGTGTTCCATCCCCATTTCTATAAATGTAAACGTCACCAAGATGGAGCCATCTTACTGATTCAAAAACAAGAATGCGGGACAATGGTGGGACTGGACCAGGAATGTTTGAAGTGCCTGATGCCATTTCATGCAATGTAGAAGATTAAGACTGTTCCAAAGATAGAGTTTTGTATAGAATCTTACTTTATGTGCTCCCTGAGGGGAGAAAGAGCTGCAGGCAGTGGGTCTTCCTCCCCCATTGCCACTTGAAGGGTGGACTGATCTTTCCCCCATTACTGGAGAATGGATGGATGTCTCCTAGCTGTGATATTATGACTTTCCTCATTATGTTTTGCTGCTCCATCTACTGGCAAGAGGCTGGGAGCCTCAGAAACTCCTTAGCCAAGTACCATCCCCTTCAGCAGCTCCCACTTCAGAGTCCGCTGCCTGGGGAGACCTCGTTTCACAAGCCAGGAGAGGGATAAGGGGAGGAGCTCTTCCTCTGCATATAGTAGAGGAGAAGCAGCTGTACTCCTCTGAGCTGTCCCTGGCCTGTGTGTTACAGTGGGTCCCACTGCATGATTGTGGAAAGCTATAGTATGAAATGCACTTGCTAAACTCTATCTCTTTCATTTACTTTAATTTAATTCTTAATTTAAATCAGACTATTTTTAATCTACAAAAATATTTGTGGTTTTGCTAGAAATTGTGCTGTTTTGTACTTGGTAATAGGCATTAACATTTAGCAGATGGTTGCCTCATTAAGATAAAGCAGAAACAATGAACTCTTACAGCACAAAAAGGTGAAGGTAGACGATATTTACTCATTGTTCAGCATCTCTGTTTCGTTTCAGTGATTCTGAGCAGAGAATGCTAGTGGGTCTCATTCTGAGCTCACTTAGGGTCCAGTCATGGGAAGTGTGAAACCACCACCACACCTCCTGACTACCGTGGGAGTTGAGGACGCCCCACACCTTTCAGGGTTGGGTTCTTTCACCGCTGATGTAAAACTAGAGTGAGCAAGAAGAGAATCAGATCCCATGTGCCAAGGGCCTGATTCTCTTCTCACTTGCAATAGTGTAAATTAGTAAGTTAAATTTGATTTCTGTACACACAAATAAAATCATGACTAACCCAATGGCATAAGGGGAGGAGAATGGGGTCTCTTGTGTTTATCTACTGGCTAGTTATGATTAAAGCTACCATGAATCAAGATACAAAATCTGTGAGGGCACTACTATAAACTCTGACCTGCCAGAACCAGTGCTTGTACATATGAGGGGCAATCGCCGTTGCATCAGTCCTTAGCATTTCTAGAGCCTACGTTTCAGTTTGGTTATAGTTTAAATTATATATGCCCACCCATTAACTTGCCTGTGTCTCTGCTTTTTCAGAACTCAGCAGAGTTCCCCTCCAAGGGGATTTCTACTTTAAAGCTTCGTTTAAAGATTAGAAAATCACATGACCACCTTTAGATATTTAAAAACAAGAATAAAAAAGGTCAGTTATTTCTAAAACAAACACAATATTTGAAGCAGTATAATATTTTAATAAAATTAAATCTAAGTATTGACAAAGCATTATGCATATACAGTACATACTGTATTTAAAGCCTATGGACCTTAACTCAATTTATTCTAGTGTAGTCAGCTGTGGACACAAGATTACTTGTTTTGTAATAAGAAAGTTTACAACTGTACTTTAAAGTGATTTTACATATGTACATATGTATATATACATATATCTATACTCACATACATGTGTAGATATATACACACATATTTGTATATGTATACATATATATTACATATACGTATATATGTATACACACACATATGCACATAGATTTGTGTGTGTGTGTATATATATATATATATATATATATATATATATATATTCACTAGCTCTCTATGAGGGACCAGTAGGTAAAAAGAGATATCACAAACAACAATTTTGATAATTATAAAAAGAAAACTTGTAAAATATTTTAATTATACAGCTTGTTAGTAGTTTGCACTGAACAAAAGGAACACAGTCTTCTGTATTACATAGAAATTATATTTATTGCATTTGATTATGTTTGGGTGACAGATGAGAACTACCTGCCTGTTTATGACAGCCAACCTTTTAGTCATGATGAGGATAAAAATAAAAATCCCAAAATATTGAAAACATAAATTATTCAGTTAGCGTGGTCTTGTAGATGCAATCAGTGACAATACTTTCCCATTGTGTAGTACTGTTGTTCTGCCTGTTAAAATAGTGACCTACTTCAATTTGCTTTGAAGAGGCTGCTTTCTGTACTATATCTTAATGTTTTAGAACCTGGTAGACATTGTTCTCTTATTCTTTCTCTAAGCAGCAGAATGATGGCCATTGACTGTAAAACGCTCAGTACAAGAAGGATAATTGTATCTTTTCAAATGTGAGTTGGAAGAAGGTTTCAGTTTGAACTAGAAGAGTTCAGTGAAGTATGAGTTACGACCGTGTGGATTATCATCATCACCTGGTCTCTTATTTGCTTTGAAGGCTTATCCACAATAAAGTACCATTTCAGTGAAAGCAGTAAATGGTAATTTCCATGCAACATAAATTGTAATTTCAGAACATGCATGTGTTTTAAAAAAATTAAAAAATATAAGGTGCCTTGAGAATGCTGGCAGTTTTACATTTGGAACATACAGTTTATATATATATATGTATGTATATATATATATATATATATTTACATCATAACTGCTCAACTTTACCTTACAAGCTTCAAATTTAGGAAAATATACAGTACTTTTGCATATAATAGTATATCCTTGTAGCCCCTGAGTCAAGTATAGAGGATTTAAATACAAAAAAAAAAAAAAAAAAAAAAAAAAAAAAAAAAAAAAAAAAAAAAAATAAAAAAAAAAAAAAAAAAAAAAAAAAAAAAAAAAAAAAAAAAAAAAAAGGAAACAGCCATTAAAAGCACTTACATTTTATGTGAAGTAATAGTATAAAAGGATTATTTCCCAGGAAGACCAGGATCAGAAACGTGCCTATGAAGACCCAAGATTCCTATAGTGTTTAGGGAAGAATCTGGCAAGGAAGGATGCCTAATGGAATGAAGATAAGTTTTATAATGCTGTGGGTGAAACTCTAAAGACTGGTCATGTTCTTGTTCTAAAAAAGAAGCCAAATTGTCTTCTGAGGCCGTGTTAAGATGCACTCCACTTGAGAGGGATTCTTTGGATTTAAGTTTCGATTTTTCAAGGTCTAGAAATTCAGGACACTGAGAGAAAGGAAAAGAAATAAGGTGACAATATATTTAAAACAGTTTCATGGATACTCCTGTTTCTACTGAAAATGAACAAAATCCAAAAAACCCCTCCCAACTCCAAACCATTCTTTGCAAACCGAATCTGAAACATGAGCAGAGAAATCAACGATTTTCACTAAATACTGTGTTCAATTAATTGTAGTCTAATGCAATTCTGCCCAGGACTTATTTGGAGGATAAACCAGGAAATCCCACCCTTCTTCCTCAGGCTAGTTGTTCCTGGCTCTCTATATCTTACGAAAATTTTCAGTCAGAGACTGAACTGTCTTGAGATGGGCCAACACTGAGCTCCTGGGTCTCTGAAATCTGGGGCAGTTCAGAATCAAAATCTGGGACTGTATCAAATTCCTAACTTTGGGGCAGTGTGGATCTGGATACAGATCCAAACACTGGGTTATTCTGTATCTTTTAAGTCAGAGCCTGTGATAGAAAGTGTGCAGAGATGTCCTGGTGGCAACTCTCTGGCACATGCACTTTACCTCCAGGAGTGCTGAGGGAGTGTAATCCTCCCCCACCCACTTAGGCAGCATACACTCCCTGGTGCATCAGTTGAGTTTCTGCATGGCCGGTGCAAGCAAGATGTGTCTCAAGGCAAGCCTTGGGTCATGACTGGAAATTTCTTGAGTCCTTCCACATGCTCCCCTGCCGGGCTAACCACAATCTACCCTTTTGTGACTTGGGCCTGCCTCTTATTCCCCTCTTCCTCTATATTTTTCTGTGGGATCCACAACCATTGCTAAATGCATGATGATGACTACATTTGTAGCTTTGAGACCTATATTTGGCTTCTACACAGTAGGAAATTTGACCTCTAGAGATTTGCTTCCAAAATAATATAACTAGATGAATCCTGTGGAGACATTTGGCCAAGTTACAATTTCCTGTTCAGAAAACTACAGAACAAATGCTCAGTCTTCCAGCAATAGGTAACAACGTTAATCAATCACTATAGCTGATTCTGGGCACATCCATACCTGTGATGAAGGACTGAAGCTTCTATCTGTTTTAATAGATACTACAGGATGAAGGCTTTGCATCACCCGGATAGCTGGCTGTTGATATTCTGCACTTGCAGTCACTATACTATATGCAGGTGGAATGAGTGTTGACTGCCTCTGCAGAAGCTGCAGGATGGTTTGAATGTCAGCAGTCATTTGGGATTCAAGCCTAGGGAAGTAATATGAAATCAATTAACACATGGTCATGGATGATTATGTTTTAACACACCGATTACAAATGCATTCAAGAGGGATCTGCAGCTTATTAACAAAGCAAGCCATTACGGGTAACAGTATTATCATGTTTTGAACAGAAGGGGGAGCACTGAGCCATTCCATGGCTAGCAGCTCACGCTCTCATACAGAATATACATTCTAATGTTTGCTCCAGACCTTAGTTAAGAGTTTAATTTAAGAATAATACATTACTATCATTTCTGTTTGCAATTAATATGAATATTGGGGGCCAGATTCTCAGCTGACATAAACTGGCATAGCCCCCATTGATTTAACTGGAGCTGTGTTGATTTATACAGGCTGAGGATCTGGTCCAGGATTTCTAAAGCAACAGAAAACTCTGACAGTCCCAAAGCTACTTCTAAGGGGATACAACACAACAAGGCTACATAATTTATGTTTTCCCACAGTTGTTTTAAGTAAAGGTCTTGAAAACAGTAATCTCTTTAGGTGCATGGTGAATTATTAGAATTTAAAGTAGGATTCGGGGGGTGGGTGGGAAGAACTGATCTGAAGCTGTGTTCAAAATTCAGAACTAAACTCAACATAGTTGATGTTCAAAAGTGGTATATTTATTGATTGTTTGACTGATTGACTAACTCTTCATGATTTGGTGCATGAATCCTGAAAGTTTAAATAAACCTTGGTGTAAGTCATAACATTTGAGTCTGCTTATCTTCTCCACACTTCCATTGCCATGGCACTGAAATGATTTTCAAGTTGTCTTGCCAACATAATTAACAGACTCAGCAATGGGTAATGCCTATTGTGCCTCCCCAGCTGCTAGGAGACCACACAATGTGTTAGAACAGATTGTAATCTGGATATAAATCCTCCTGTATTGGAACTCATCTCCTGACAGAATCATTTTCACTGTAAATAAATTTTTATGTCAACAGCCCTCAGTGTTGTGAACGTCCCAACTACAGCTCTGCAGCAGCGGAATTACTCCTGCTCTAGCAGATTTTTGCTGTGCACTAAGCCCTAAACTTGCACCTGATCTCTGTCCCCTAATGGACACTGAAGATGCCTTTGCTCCTCACGTAGATATTAAAGGAAACGTTGCTCCTAGGTCAGCTGTTGTTCCCATAGATTCTGTGGCATCAGCTTTTATAAAAGCAACCTAATACACAGCTCAAGCCCTGGGGTTATACCCATTCATGTCCTATTCATCCTCTGCTCAGCTCCCTTACGTTGTGTGCTGATTGCCAATATGCCAATATTGACCTCAAAGTAAGCATCCTGCCGATACCACAGGGAAAAAATGCTGCAGCAGCACCACCATCCAAAGAGCACGTCTGCTAAAACTGTCATAATTCCTTTTTGAATAGAAGACGTGCACGAATTTGAGAACTTGGCTGATAATTTTGCCCTCTCGTACCTCTCTGCCCCTGCTCCCCCTGCCTTTAGAATGGCCCTCCTTTCAGTTCCCCTCCACTCCAAATCAGAGAGTTCTAATTTCTTCTACTCTTCATTCTTTCTCACTTGACCATTTAACACCACCCCACAAAAAACAGCCAAACAAACAAACAAACCCTTAAAAAACAGCCATATTATGGCTGGGCATAAAAGCAGCAGAAAGAGAGTGATAGGTGGTCACTGGGCTTCCCCAGCTTGTATAAAACTCTATACCAGTCCACCATGTACCCCCAGTTTAGCATCATATCAGGGACACGGCTGAGGGTAGGAGGCAGGGAGGTATGCCCAGGGCATATTGCTCTCTGACTTTTCTGGGTCACCAGAATAGTTGTTCAAAGCTTGCATAAATTAGAGTAGTTCCCTTGCAGCTGATCTGACCTGTGCCAGGGACTAGCCAGGTCCAGAATCCAGGAGGCACAAAGGTACCTTAAAAAGCACCAAAAGAATTAATAAATGAAGTGGGATGTGGATAAAATCCAGAAAAAGAAATAAATAAAACTAAAATCTCAGCAGGTCATCAGAAAACTCCCTGCCGCAAAATCTTTGTCTATGGCATCAATAATCCTAATACCAGCACCAAGCAATAGCTCTAGCTATTATTATATAATAAAAGCAAGATATTATTATATATAAGTCCTCAAATGCTGTGATGGGAGCCCAGTAAGTGCCTAGTTAGATTAGATAGGTAGATAAATACCTACATAGTTCTACTTCATTCATGATTTATAGGAATTTCAACCTACATGTTAAAACATGTATCTTGTAGCATATAGTATGTCACTAGAAATGAGAGTACTGAAGTTTGATTGGTTCACAGAATGCAAAGGGGGCACGCCGTCCTTACACTCACTTTCAATTGCTTGTTAAAATGTACAATACAGTGTGCCAATGAAGATGTACTAAAGTATAATTAAGGCTGAATTTGTGTCATGGTAAATTTGGAGTTAAATTGTGTAATTGTCATGGCAAAAATGTTGAGAGTAATGGAATTCCGGGGAAAATAATAAAAAGCCACAGACCTGAGCACAGGCCAACTTAAAATGAACTGAAATTACATGGTAAATTATAGTGTATGACTGATCAGAATACTTTCACCATATTTTTAAGATTCCATAAGCTATTCTGTTTAGCCACCAACTATATATGTTAGACACCAATAGGGAGGGGGAGAAGGAAGATGAGATGTATTAGCAAAGGTAACTTACACATGCAGTATTTTGACAAAGAAAATGACTGTTTTCTATTGTAGTACGTGTGTTTTGCACTTGTGATACTCCCATGGCTGTTTATTACAGAGACAGCTGCAAAAGGAGGTTTACTCATCAAAAAGTGAAGATGCCTATCATACAAATGCTGCTTCTGCAAGGAAGACAGCTGGTTCGTTCAGTACACCCCCAGGAAAGCATAGCACCTCCCATTTTCTAGGCACAGGAACTGTGTGTAGAAAGCCAGGAACTGCTTTTAGAGGAAAAGTTCAGGGGAAAGACGGATGACGGAGAGAGTCAAAAACCTGCACCTACCCATCCCAGGATAGGATTTTCAAAGGGCTTAAGGGCCAGATTTGTATTTCGGTACTTAAAGATGCAGGTGGGTGCCTAGCCACTTTTGCGATTTCTGCTATGCACCTATCTGCATTGTTAGGAGCCTTAATACTTTAAAAAAATCTGGCCCTAAGTGACTTAGATTCATTTAGGCGCTTATGAAAATCTCCCACCAAATTCATCCTTGTGGCTCCATTGATATCAATGGTGTTGTTATCAACCCAATCTGATCCTGTCACATAATTGCTTTTACCTGTTGAGTTGTTCTTGAAGTAAATCTAGCCGGTGCTCCACTTCCCCATAGGTCAGCTCACTTTCAGTTTCACAGATGCCCCATGTAACATGAGGTAATGCTGACTGTCTGGAGACGTCCTGGTGCCCCTTGGTGTTTTCCCACTCCCAGTTTCTTTTATCACTGATGTCTGCCAAAAAACAAACCTCTTGAAGTATAAACGTACAGATCCACTAAGAATAGACACTAATGGAATGTATGGCATGACTGAGTTAAAGCTACAGTCTCTACACTTGATTTTTAGGAGTGTTCAGCCAAGTGAACATAAAACAGTGTTTTGCAAACCTTTGAAAGTTAAACCCTCCCTCTTCAGGTAAGGTAAATTAAACCAATCACAGCTCTGACCTGCAATTCCTTCTTATGTTGTTAAAGGCCAACAGCTTAGTCTGTACGTCTTCCATGCTTGCCCCAGCAGTTGTTGGTGCACCCTTTATGCACAGTCTTTAGGAAATGCTGGGGTAGAGCATCATCATATACTCCCTCTCCTTTTGTACATACTTTGATGGGCAGTGTAATCAGCAACAATGTTGACATTTAAAGAATTATAACTGACATTAATGTTAGCACCCATTGAAAAGGGTGAGGCACGTCACTTCTCAGAGCTACTAGTTCAGACTTTCTTCAAACCCAGGCAGATGACTCCATCCTCATCAGTTACACTCATTTCACATTTTCAAGGTTTTCTTTGCAATCATAACAGCTAGAGACTTACCTATAAGAAAGAAGGGCCTTTGGAGGACACCAGAGAGACCTGTCCAAATGCCCCCAGCTAATCCTTTTACCAGATGGGAACATATTCCATAGTAAAGAAAGGAATATTCCATAGTAAAGAAAGGAAGTCCCTCCCAAAGTTATATACAGTGGTTAAAGTAGATTGAATCAGGAAGGGGAGCTCTCACCACATAAACCAAAAAGGAGGAGGAGTTCTTCCTCTCCTTTTAGCAGAGAAGGGGGAGATGAGCTTTATTGGATTAATGGATCTTTGGGATCTGAGGGGTCCCAGGGTTTCCTAGGGCTATAGTGAGTCTGTGAATGTCATAGGGTGTAATAGGCACCTGATAGTATGAATAGGGCTGAAGGAGGAGGAGATTTCACCTTGGCTCCATGGTGGCCCATTCAGCTTCTCCGACCACTCACTACATGGCCCCATGGGAAAGGGAATGGGTGAGAATTGTGTAATTTTGACTCAGCTAGCATGCATGGTACAATTTACAGTTGTCTGAGGAAACTGGAGAGCTTTCTGAGAGGGGCAGGGAGCAAAATTCTGACAGATTCAGACCCAGCATAATCTTAATCCATATCTGTTTGTAGAATGTTTGCAGGATATTGGAAAAGCAACTCATTGATTATAGACAATGACTATCAGGAATGAAATGTAAACAATAAATGCTGTTTGTTTACACTTCTTCTTTACTGCTCTGTAAAATCCCTTAGATTTTACATATAAATCACCCACTAAAATCACATATTTTCCTGTACCTGGTCTTGGTGTCTCTTGGTCAGCCCTGGGTTGAATGACAGTTGTTTGTGTCCTGGAATAAATGTTTGTGGAGTATCTAGATTAATGTTTACAATGCAATTGCCAATTAACCTGAATTCAAAACAGGACCATAATAAACTCTAATCTAGACATATCCTTCAAGGGATAAGTCATTCCCCTTGTACTGTGCATCTTCTTAGGTAGTCCCACATGTATGAACAGCCACAAAAGCCATGGCCAGGAGACAGTCAAAACATTACTATTCAGCATGGCCTTGGAAGAATGGAGGATTGTTCTCAAGCTGTGAACTAAATTAATAAATATATGGCCTGGTTAATCTAAACAGTTCAAGAATGAAATCCTATGACCTGAATAAAGGCCATGGGCGGCCCCAAAGAGTGGAAAATGGGATTGTTCTGCAGTGGGGAGGGGGGAAGGGGGAGCAGCAGCTACATAGAAGCTACCCATGTGCTGTTAAGAGAGGCTCAGGATTGAAATAAAATGAGTGCTGCAGGTCAGGATTACACTGGCAACATTTAGACTGCCTGTCCCACCCTATCCAATTCAAGGTTAATAATCCCTTCCTTTCATGGACAGTACATTAACTGCTAACATTTAAAACAAAAAATAAAATAAGGACTAGGCTAAAAATATATCTTTTGTAATGGTAATGAGTTATGGAAGCTTATATAGAAGTTCATTTATATGTATATCTACAAGATTTATACTTATAGACTCAGATTAGATTTACAACTGCCTTTAGAGAACATAAAATCAATTTCTAATTGATATCAGGAATGAGAATTTAATTTAAAACCAATCAAAACCAATCTGACTTTTTATAGAAGCTATAAGAAAGGTGATCAGCTTTCAAATACACCACTAAAAATGCAGGATTACAAAGACACCCATTCACCCCCTCAAAATGTTGGCTTTTATATGGTCTTAATCAAAATGCACACCCTTTAGACTTGCTAAATTTAGCTCAGAGTAAAATCTGCACTAGGTTGCCTTGGAAAACGTTGCTATAGCTGCAAGGACACATTTCTGGCTACCGGCAGGGGCAAGGTAAGCTTTCGAACAGCAATATGTACAAAACACGTTTATATCAGCATTTGACCTTACCCTGAGAAGACCAGATGTCACATAGCTTGGCCTTTGGACTATCAAAATATGTTGTTCTGCTGGATTAGTTTTTAGAATAATTTAAAATAATATCTTAGAAACCTAAAGTTGATCCTGAATTTGTGTGGCAAAATTTATTGTACCAGGAAATAAATTGTTGAGGAAAAAAGCAATAAGCACTAAACATAGAAGTAGTCCTTTAAAACAGAAGCAACTGTAAATGAATCTTCAGCAACAAAACCTTTAATGTTGTATAAATAGACTTTTCATTAGTTCACCCTATCACAGAAAATTAAGGTTTTAAAGAAAGACAAAAGAATGTTTGATGAGATGATATAAAACACTCATTCCATATTAAGTTAACTGAGATTGCTTAATCACTATAAACCATATGACATATACTAAGAACCAAATTCTGCTCTTCTTACTCAAGCAAATTTCCCACTGAAGTCAAGATGTGTTCCTGTGTGATATTTCATCATTTTTAATTAAGTAATATTACAGAACTAGATAACATGTCTTTCAATCTCATTGTTATGCATTGCTTCAACACTATTTTACATGTTCAATAGTATAAAATATGAAGAAAATGGGTTAAGCTGGTAAAAGTTTATGAGCAAAACTTTTTTTGTGTGTGTGCAAAAAATGGAAATTTGATGACATCAAAATATTTCATGAATTCATGTCAATTTCACCAAATTGTTTAAGTCAAAAACAAACCTCAACATTTTTTGAAAAAAAATCAAAATGTTTTTTCAACATTTTCTAAATTAAATATTTATTTAGCCCCTTTAACTAGACTGGGTTTGTGAAACTCATATTTAGTATCCCTATCTAGCTTTCTATCTAGGGTTTTGTACTGCCACCCAACACTGTAGCATGATGGGCAGTCAACTTTTTTCACTCCAACCTCCATCTGATGGACTCACCACAACTGTGAATCCTCTGGCTTTGTTTACAATAGTGAAAGCCATCATTAACTAAGGTAAAATTAAATCCACAGACAGTAAGGCCCAGCTTTCAAAGGTGCCCATTTATTTTAGGCATCCAAAAAATAGAGGCATCCAACATTATGAAATGAAATGAAAATGTTGGCTTAAATGACTTGTCCAAGATGATTCAGGAAGTCATTTGCAAAGCCTAGATTAAAATTTAAGAGCTCCTGGATTCCAATCTCATTCCCAGGCTACCAAACCATAGTGCCTCTCAAGGGAAATAATTCTCTGAACATTCCACATTTGACATGAAAGAAGATTATTTTGTCAATGTTTCATGAAACCCTTAAAAGGTAAATTAATGTATTATTTGTCAATGGAAGCATTCTGAAGAGGTTTATTTCTCTCCCACTGATCATCAGAGCAAAAATGAATAGGCCATCTTTACAAAATAGCAACATGGAATAGATTACCTCTGCAAGAATGGCTTCTTTTGTCAATATGGATCCTTTCTGTTGCACGCACCACTTCTTCGAAGTCCAGCCCTGTAGTTTTCCCTATCATTGATGGGTAATTGATTATTTCAGAGAAGAGAGGTTTCTGCTCATCTTCAATGGATGATACCAAAGATGATGACTCACTTTTCTTCTCTTCAAAGTGTTTCTTGGTACACTGATAATGTCTAGTATTATCCACGGAGTCTTCAGGATCATTCTGATTGTTTTCTTTATCATAGCCTGTCAAATAGAAATAATTGTATACAATAATGTGCAGTGCATGAGATCTTATTCCAATTTATCCTGGACCTCAGGCCAAGCCGGCGCTAGGCATAAACAGACTAAGCAATTCCTTAGGGCCCCAAGCAGCTCAAGCCCCCCCAACATTAATTATTAGTATGTGGTTGTGTGTGGAGGGGCCCAAAATATTCCTGCTTAGAGCCCCAATGGGCTAGCACTGCCACTGGCCTCAGGGGCAGAGTAGAATTATATCAATCAGCAAGTTCACTGTCTGTTAGGGATAACATAACTTTAATGTCTCTTCTATTAAGGACCACAGTAGAGATGTTGGAGATATTCCTTCTAATGTAGGTTCTACCATTCATTTATATAGCAATCTCAGGTGTTTGTGCTGGAGCCCCCTCAGTCTACAAGAGAAGGGGGCTGCCAGCAGACATTCTCTCTGAGAGCACCTCAACCTTGGAATCTACTGCCTTCAATTTGGTTGAAAATAGCCCCAGTCTGTTGACCATTAGGGTTCACTGCAAGGCCCATCTCTTTACCAGGTTTTTGGGGAATGAGGTACATGACAAGGGCTGATGTGGTGCGTGTGGTAAGATGGGTATTGGTCGAATCTTGAATTCATCTTCGAATATTTTTAGGTTCCGGAGTGAGGAGCAGCTACTGGTTCAATACTTTCTTGGGGCTGTATTTTTGATTTCTGGCAGTTACAGCAACATATTACAAATTGAAACAAATAAAATAAGGACAAGAAACCAACAGTGATCATCTGGTGAGTATGGAGGCCTCTTGAACTGCCTTTAGAGTAACATTTAAAGTGTATTTTATTGTATCATTTCAAATCCAATATTTGATCTTGCCTATTTTTAACTGAAATGTGAAGATAATTCCAGTCCTGAAGGTTTATTTAGAACATATTTTAGCAGGGGAGTCTCAATTAGATATAAATACTGTAACTAGTTTGCATTAACTTCCTGGGGAGGTAGCATGATTCCCCATCTGGTTTCAGCTAATTACTAATCAACATAATTCTAGAGTGCATGTAATCCTCACAGCAATGGTTAATAAAAGATTCTGTACATTCCCAGGGTTTCTTCTTTTCTAACACTGTTTCCCGGTCATCATTTACAATGATGTAAGTGGGCCTGATCATACCCCCATGATCTGCACACAGAGTGAACCTCCTCCTGCTCAGAAAGCGAGGCTCTGTTGCCTTTGCAGCAGCATCTCCCTCTATTGCACTGACTCCATGAGTTCAGAGATCTGCAAGTGGTGAGTGGTAGCAATGATCAAGCTGGGGGCAAGGCCAAGTTTGATGCACATCATCCCCACCTGCATTCACTGGAGTCCCTGCAGGAAATTAATACAGCATTGAGCTGAATTCACTTTCTGTTGGTCTTGTCTCCTTTTAACAAGGATCCCTGTCACCTGCTGGAGAAACCACATGGCAAGTGGAACAGGGATGGTGCTGTGGCGCAGCACAGATGCAGGTGGGCTTGCACAGTGTGGCTTGCAGGGGATCTGTAGGTTTTGTGGGATGGCCCTTTGGCCAGCAATTCCCATCCTCCCACGCTCCTGATGGAACAATGGAGGCTAAAGCTCCATGAGACGATTCTTGCAGCCATTTCCCCTCTCCTCACTCTTGGGTGATGGAACTGTTTTATTGCAGTCCTACAAAGACAATGGGCTTAACTACTCAATGCTACATTGACTTGAAATGGAAACATTTACATGTCCACATTTTTTGAACAATTTTGTATTCTCATGGGAATATGTGAATCAAAAATAGCAGTCATAGGCACTTTATAAAAGAAAGATTGATCAATGAACTAGTTTGCAAAGAGAGGTCACGCAGAGACAGTTCTAACATAGACAGGAGAGATCGCATAATGGCTGAAGTGTGTGTAGAGGACTGATCTATCATATTTACAGAGTGCCAATCACTGTAATAGCTAGAGGAACAAAACCAAATTCTGCTTTCAGTTACACTGCTGTAAAACCAGAGTAATTCAGTTGACTCCACTGCAGTTAGTCTGGATTTATGTCGGTGTAGCTGACAGCATATTTTGATACAAATATCTATACTTCTGGTGTTGTGAACACTTTGGCCCAAGTACAAAGGAATAGATGAAAGGGAGGTCCCTTCCAATGATATTATCTGGGTTCCAAATCGAAGGAAGATAACTTTTGCCCACTAGTTGATCAGTTTCATAACATGTGTTCAATGCCATTTCTGCATCTGCTAGTTCTCTTCCTGCATTCAGAAATTTTAACATTGCTTTTTCATTATGCAGTTACTCCAGGAAGGTTTTCATTTTAGGCTGGAAACGAAATCTTCACTGTAAGGAAATGCAGCAAAAACATTAGCACTGAGAATAATCCTATGATGTTGTATGACTAAAATATGAATTAAAAATGGAAATTGCATTCATTTGGCTCTGAACTGTAGGAGCTAATGGAGTTCACAGGGCAGTTCAGCTGAAATACATTACAAGCAGTCTCTAGGTAATGCTTTATTCAGATAGGGCACGATCATTTCTGCTTTTTCTAATGAATCCACGTTATTGGGTTGGAATGAACATTGCAGATGACAGGAATGGCTTTTTCTCTGGCTGGGCTTTTTCTGTGCAGGAATAAATTCCTTAAGTTCTCTGTCCATTATACAGACTGGCAATTCCAAATAAGCTCTTCCCCTCTCTTTCCCTCCCCTGTTTGACTGCAAGGAAAGCTTGATTTCTGAACTGATTATTATCTTCACTAAAGATTCATCCTCCCTCCTCCATTTGTTTTCCAATGAGATGCGTTTCACTTTTTGATTCAGATTGCTGGAAACAATTTTTCAGAGGCTGAATATTTTGTAACCTCCTGCTTTGCCAAACATCCTTTCAAACATAATGTGCACCATTTATGGGACTCATTTTAGTCTGTGATTTTTTTTGTATGTCTGCCAAAGAGCACAAATGAACATGATGACACTGGAATTCCTGATTTATAGGAGCAACAGTGTCTGACTTTTCAGCCTTGAAAATAACAAAGCCCTTGACTTCTAACTATGGGAAAGACTATATCCCCCCTTTCAGGGAGACGGGCAAGAAGAATTAGGGACATGATCAGGCCTTTGAAATGACTTCTTATTCCAGTACTTTTCTGAGTCTTCCAGATGTGACAATTACTAGAGAACAGACATTTTTCTTTTATTTTTTTGTCATGCTAATTCAATAGTAAAAAAGATTGGCTCAGTTCAGTGAGTGGCAGCCTATGTGAACTGGGATTTCTTTATACTCAATGCCACTGCAAATTTTGATACCAATAAAAGTGGCATAGTAATATATTACATGGGGAGCAACAGGTGCTTTTTTATTTTTAGTGGAATTTGGTCAACTAGACTTTGCTTATAGAATTGGACCAGCTATCTAGTCTGTTGCTTCAGAAGAAGGCAAACCTTTAATTCCTTTCTCCCACCTCCAAGTAAAAACCTTAGTGTGTCTAGACACATTCAATTTTGTGTAGGAAGTGAGGTGACTACCTTACTAACCCTTGCAGAAAACAATTTACACCACACATCATGAGACAGATAATCCTTATAATTAACTTTGCTTGTATAACTACAAACCTCATCACTGGACATGACATTTTCTAGCCCCTTTTATAAAATCCTGCCACACCATTTTAAACACCACCAGGTAAGGCACTTGCTGAGGCGTGGCACATTCTGAGTGTGAAGTAAATGCTGTAAAACAGTCTACAAATTTTCATTCATATTCCCAATGGTGGTTTGGTCCAGCCATCATTGTTCCCCTTTTATTTGATAGTCACATCTCTTCACATGAAGGGAATTTTGTTTGCAGGAATGTTGGTAGGATGGCTGGTTTCTGTATAGATAAATCCATTTATTCATGTTTAAATATTGAATATGGTGGCAGAATTTTTGGAAGGCTCCACAATCCATTGCTAATTTTGAGCACTCAGCAGTTGACCTTCCAGTGATTTGCTGCACACCATCCATCTCCTCATTGATTGTTTCCTACTATGACGACCCTTCACCATTTTTTTCCATATCTTTCTCTAGATTATTTTCATCTCTTTGCCTAGTGTGATCACAGTACATACGTTTGCATCTGTTCATTTCCAACATCAGAGTCTGCTTCTCTCCAATAATATTTTTAACATAGGCATTCATTTTTTCCCCATCCATGAGGTATGCAAGAACCTTTGCCAGCATCACATTTCAAAAACTCTGAAACCAACTGGTGGTGGTGGTAGTTCTGCCTCTATCATGCAATCTTGGATTATATAAACCAGAACTTTGCTCATGTGTGAAATCAGGGAGATGGTACAATAATTACTATACTTGGTTATGTCTCCCTTCTTTGGTAAGGGCAGAAAAATGCCCTTCGTCCAGTCCTCTGCCTCTAGTCACCTGTACATCTTTACAAATTTTCCACATAAGATCAATACTGTGTTCGCCAATCACTTTTAACAATTCTGCAGGCCTGTTATCTATCCCTGGTGCTTTTTCCAGGCTTCATTCTCTCTCTCATAAGACTGACAGCTCCAGTTCTATATCTCTTTTCTGCCAGCCTGTATTATGAGTGGCTCTGGTGAGGGATACAGATTGGCACAGTAATCTCTTCACCTGTGTTTAGTATCATCACCCTCAGTCAGGAGTCTGCCATCATGATTTATTATTATGTTTGATCACAGTGAAAAGCTTTTGGTAAGAAGTCTGACCACTGTGAATCTATCTTTTATATTATTACTCTGTTTACATTTCTCAAGTTCCATGCATTTTGCCCTTATATATTTGCTCTTGTCTTGTCTAGTCTGCCTTTGAATATTCTCTCCCATATTTTCCATTTCCAAACCATTCTCTTTTACTCTGTATCATTTTTCTGCCAACTCAAACACCTTCTCAGTTAACCATGGTGTAGTCTGACACTGACTTTTTGGAATGTGTGTTTGGCCTTTTAAACATAACAGTTTTCACT